CCATATTGGGGGACTGCCCCTTTAAGAGTGTCCCACGGAGGGGTTAATTCAGTACAGCGTGGTCTTCCTAGAAGGTTCTTCTTGTTCGGCATGTACGGGATATAGGATAACCCCGCCTGGAATGACAGCAATGTACTCTATGTATGCCGGGCGAGTCCTGTACAGACCGGAGCTGATGATATGGGGAACGTTCAGCCGGCTGGTGCTGGATTCACTGCCTGTACCTGACAAAAGATCAATGACACCAATGTGGGGGGGAGGGGAGGGGGCACTGCATAGACAACCTGAATCCTGAAGACAGGTGGAGGGACTACAAGTGATTTATGTTATTAGAGTATAGATTGCCAACATATGCTGTAGGAGGTATACAGCGCTCTCATAGGAGGTATACGGCGCTCCTATAGGAGGTATACAGCGTTCCCATAGGAGGTATACAGCGTTCCCATAGGAGGTATACAGCGTTACCATAGGAGGTATACAGCGCTCTCATAGGAGGTATACGGCGCTCCTATAGGAGGTATACAGCGTTCCCATAGGAGGTATACAGCGCTCCCATAGGAGGTATACGGCGCTCCCATAGGAGGTATACGGCGTTCCCATAGGAGGTATACAGCGTTCCCATAGGAGGTATACGGCGCTCTCATAGGAGGTATACGGCTCTCCCATAGGAGGTATACGGCTCTCCCATAGGAGGTATACGGCGCTCCCATAGGAGGTATACGGCGCTCCCATAGGAGGTATACGGCTCTCCCAGTTGGAGGTATACGGCGCTCCCATAGGAGGTATACGGCACTCTCATAGGAGGGGGGGGGCTCCATGGGAAACCTGAATTCTCACTAAGGACAGAGACAGGTGGAGGGACTACAAGTGATTTATGTTATTAGTGTATAGATTGCCAACATACGCTGTAGCGCATTGCAGAAAGCTCCAAGTCATTGACATCCCTGTCCCCCCTGCCCCCCCCTCTCCCCGGGGGCTCCCTATCACCCTGTACACAGACTCCAGGGGTCCTTTGGGGTGAAATTCCAGTAACCTGCCAGTATGTTATGGGAGGAACCAACATACATCCAGTTCCTTAGTAGATGAAGTTCCTGGTGGTAACTAAACCCAAAGTTCCAGCAATTTTGCAGCGCTGGGAACTCGTAGGAAGGATGTTTGTCTCGTATTATCTCCGGTCATCTCCTGAAATCCAGACCTGGTCACTACAAGCGTTGTCCTCTACGGGAATGTGCTGGAGCGTTCGCTTGTGATGTCAGCACAATGGAGGTACCGGAGGCCAGTCTGCCACTGATCCCAGTTACGTGATTCCCTCCGCGTCCCGCCAATGTCCCCGCTCCTCATGTGCCACGCAGGCATTCCGAAACGCACAGGGGTCTCCTAACCCAGAAAGGTTAACACTTTAACTCCTGGATCTCCTAACCCAAAGAATAACCCTTGGGTCTGCTCTCCCGAAGGTTAACCCTTGGGTCTCCTCTCCCGAAGGTTAACCCTTGGGTCTCCTCTCCCGAAGGTTAACCCTTGGGTCTCCTCTCCCGAAGGTTAACCCTTGGGTCTCCTCTCCCGAAGGTTAACCCTTGGGTCTCCTCTCCCGAAGGTTAACCCTTGGGTCTGCTCTCCCGAAGGTTAACCCTTGGGTCTCCTCTTCCGAAGGCTAACCCATGGGTCTCCTCTTCCGAAGGCTAACCCTTGGGTCTCCTCTCCCGAAGGTTAACCCTTGGGTCTCCTCTCCCGAAGGTTAACCCTTGGGTCTCCTCTCCCGAAGGTTAACCCTTGGGTCTCCTCTCCCGAAGGTTAACCCTTGGGTCTCCTCTCCCGAAGGTTAACTCTTGGGTCTCCTAAGCTTAGCGTTATTTCCTGGATCACTGCTGCTGGAGCTTCACTGCCTGTGTACTACCCTTTTGCTTTCTATAAGCACCTACATATGATGACTTTCACATGTACACCTGCAATACCAAGACCTGTAAATGATAGTACATACTAGGGATGCACCGATACCGATACCGAGTATTTGGGTGAGTACTCGTACTCGCCCAAATGCTCCGATACCTAGCACGAGTACTTCCTGTATCAGGAAGCCGGGCAGCGCATCATTACACGCTGCCCCGGTTTCCTGATTGGCCAGGAAACGGCTCCGTGCTCTCTCGTCACTTGTGATGAGAGAGCATGGGGCTGACTTCCCGGCCAATCAGGAAGCCGGGTAGCGTGCAATGACGCGCTGCCCGGCTTCCCGATTGGTCAGGAAGCTAGCAAATCCGAAAGCCGGGCGCCGTGTAATCACGCAGCGCCCGGCATTCTGATTGGCAGAAGAAAGTGACCTTAAAGCATTAGTTTGTATTGCTTTAGAAAAAATGTGACCTGTCCCTTTAAGAAAAAGTATCGGTAATTGGTATCTGCGAGTACTTGATCAAAAGTATCGGCACTCGTACTCTGTCTTAAAGTGGTATCGGTGCATCCCTACTACATACCTTGAGACAAAGTCCCAAAAACATCAAGTAAAGGGCCTAGGTAGATGTACAGGGGCTGCTTTTCACTTATCTGTGACCTAATCATCTGTTGTGTAAACCTCTATTGTGACCTCGAGTGGTGCGGCGGTCTTCTTGCTGAAGTTGTTATCTTTGCCTGGCGTCTGAGGTATCACTTTCCATAGGGCGGCTCCTTAAAGCTGAACTGTTCTCATATCTCTACGTTCCCCGAGAGTCACTATTTCTTCCAACTCATTTTTTCTGCAATAAAAGGAGAGCTGGATCATCCATAAGGTAACCTAGGCAGGAGCCTAGAGCCTCTGGATGTCCTGGGGGCCCCACTACAACCTCCATGCTCCTGCAGTAAACCAGGGGAATGGGGCTATAAGTCAAAGCTGTGTACCTGCCTGTGACTGCACGGGGGCGGATGTCTTGTAGGTAGATGGTGTCTGATGGGCCCCCGGTACAGGCAATGCAGATAGAGCAGCTTCCAAGTGTTCCAAGACTACAAGTGGGGTGGTTAGGAGACTGGTCACCCGGCACAAGGGGAGGATGTAGAGGTGATCGGTCTTCATTACGGGAGACTCCTACATAAAGGCAAAGTACAGGTCAGCTTTGAAGCAAGAGCTCTGGCCTGCTGCTATGAAGGGACCAAGCAGGTCAACATTTAATAATGAATGACACGTCTATAGGGCTCTATAGGGGGAGACCTGTCTTATGTAACAAGAATGCATCGCCTTGGCCGGAGTTCCTCTTTAAATGATCCGTCAGATGAAGTTCAGACTGCAGGATGTTATTTGGCCATGGAAGGCTGTAAGTGTCTCATGTTTCTGTTCCTTCCAGTTTCCTGACAGACATGCCGGTCATGAGGACATTAACGCGTGCAGTGAAGCATGCATTGCAGAGCCCCGCGTGTGGGTGTCAGACCGTCACATCCGTGCGCTTCATTGGCTTCTCGCCTCGTCAGGTGCCATCTGACGCCAGCTTCCATTCTGTGTCCTTCTCAGAAGCCGACCATCCCCGGGTGCTGATCACTGGTACGTATGTGTAGATCCCAGCCGTTGGCTTCTGTCCGGTGTTACCGGAGCTGTCAGTTCAAACCTGTAGAGGCTTCCGATGGTGGAGGTCTGTAACATGCACGCGGCACACACGGATCACATATGTGGGAATAAAGCACTGTGCAGCCACGTGTCGGGGAAAACACTTCCCAGCACAACATCCTCCATTCACCTTTCTCTCTTCTCTTAGCTGCATGTCATTCTCTCTCTGCCCCTCCCCTGAGCATCTTTCTCCCTATGCCCCTCCCCTGAGCATCCCTCTCCTCCTGTTTCTCCCCTGTGTTCTCTCTCTGCCCCTCCCCTGAGCGTCTTTCTCCCTATGCCCCTCCCCTGGGCATCCCTCTCCTCCTGTGTTCTCCCTCTGCCCCTTTACATGCATATCCTTCTCACTTCTCATGCCCCTCCTCTGTGCATCCTTATCATCCTATCACCCGCCCCCCGAGTGTTCTTCTCTTCCCACTCCTTCCTTATGTTCTGCCCCTGCTCCTCCTCTGGAATGACTTCCCTCCTCTTGCTTCTTATATTGTGCATCCCCCTCACATACGCTCCTCCAAGCTGACTCTGGGCCATGCATCGTCCTCCTCCTGCCTTTCTATTTTCTCTTCTCTGTATAATATCATCTCTCTGCCTGTCAACTGCTTGCCCTTATCCTCATGCCCTTCCCCTCTGCAGCCTTCTTGTCATCCTCCTCCTACTCCCACCGTTCCCAGGAGCATCCTTCTCCTCCCTTTCTTTTTTTCTCTCTCCTGCGTGATATTCTATCTCTGCCCCTAAACTGCACGTCCTTTTTCTCATGCACCTCCCCTGTGCATCTTCATCCCACCCCTGTGTGTTCTCCCTCTGCCCCTCCCCTATATTTTCTTCCTCCGCCTCTTGCATGCACATCTTGTGCTTCTCCTATATATGGTTTCTTCCTTTCTGACTATTCCTAGAACACCATCAATCTCCAGCCTTTCTATTTTCTTTTTTCATGCCTATCTTTACCCTCGTGCCCCTCCTCTGCACATCCTTCTCCTCGTGCCCCTCCTCTGCACATCCTTCTCCTCGTGCCCCTCCCCTGCAAATCCTTCTCATGCCGCTCCCCTTCACATCCTTCTTCTCGTGTCCCTGCACATCCATATCCTTGTGCCCCTCCCCTGCACACCCTTATCTTTGTGCCCCTCCCCTGCACATCGTTATCCTTGTGTTCCTCCTAATTATTTAAAAAAAATACTTTTTAAACAATCTTTCTTTCATTGCTGCCCTCCTCCTGAAATTGCCGACCCACCTTGCAGTCTGCTAGCCCAGAGACTGAATCCCGCAATATAAAGTCAGAGTGCTGGCGGGTTGCCTGGCCATAGTGCCATGTCATCACTCTCAGCACTTTTGGTTCCCTGAGCCAGAATAAGCCAGCCGAGTATTCCTGACCTCACTCCAACTTTCCTGATCCCCTGACTTGTTCTGGGTGTGAAAGTCAGACGGCCTGGAGGCGGAGCCAATACATTCCTGATTAACCCTTTAGGAACTGGTAATAAATCTTCTTATTAAAACAAAACAAGGGAGGAGGAGGAAATGAAACGAATCCTCAGAATGCAAATGATCTCGGCACAGGATTACAAAACGAGTTTTATCAAATAGAAAAAGATACAAAGAATATGAATCGGATACAAAGTATATTACACAAGCAACACGAGTATAATCCTGCGAAGAGCCAGCGCCCGGTGTTCCCAATCCTCCCTCCACCGACCCGACCCTGCTGAGCACCCGAGATCAGATGACACCGGGGCAGTATGGCCCAAATATCCGTATATCTGACCAATAATAAGGTTCATATCCCACAGGATTCATTCCATCCTCATGGTCCTCTGGCTTCCTAAACAAAGATACAAGAAGCTTCGAGGGGAGAAGTTGTCCCTGATGCCCCCCCCC